ATATATATATATATATATATATATATATATATATCCACAAAAAAATACAGATACCCTATCAGGTTTATCTGTCGTTTTAGCCGTACAGACCCCGTCATACATACAGCATCAAATGAAGTCGCAGCAACAAACATTCTGCCGTTCCGTTTTATTGGCATTGGCAATTTTACAACAGCAACAGCAGCAAAAAGAAATCATGGCTTATTGTTAATCAGCTGCAGTCCGCTGATAGATCTGAAGAAGTTCTGGGGGTTACTGTCGCTGTTATTGTCAGTGCTGTTACCTATCGGTATACGTGGGTGCTAGATACTTATCAAGACATCCAGTATCTTTAATGGCAAAAGACTGAAAAGTTGAATCGAAAAGCGACATTTATAATGGTGCATTAATCTGCATTCCAAATGTTCTCATCTTCAACACCGCTTATTCTTCGCTTGAAGATGATAATCGAATTAGTCAACTGGTGGCATTTTCTTCTAAATTTCAACTTTCAAAATTCTCAGTCAAACTAAATTCTTTTCTGTAAAAAAAAAGGATAATTTTTCAGTTTCCTTCCTTTTCTCGGCTTTCTTTACTAATATATATGTGTGTAGATCGTTCCATGTCAGTTCACAAAGTATTTTCATTTGAAATCGTCGCTGCTTTCAATTTTGTTCATAAGTAAAGTTTGATCTCTGGTTTAAAAAATTGAAGGAGGGACATGAAGAAGTTATTTTCCCGTCAATTCGTGATCCTTAAAATCAAAAAAATTGCCAAGTTTTTGTCAACGTGCCTACCTTCTCTGATTTGCAAATCGTCTTATCTTTGGCGTAAACCAATTTTCAACTCACTAAGATTGACATTATCTTCTAAATTTGAAGAAGCTTTAGAATTTCTAATTTCGTAGAACAAGTGGGTAGCCACAATCAAAGTAATATTTTAAGAACAATCAAAACCACTTTAATCTGTCCCAAAGAAAAAAGGAGAATGTTTTCCGTACTACTATTGGCTTTTACAAATTATAAAAATCCGTTGATACTATTCTGACGGGATCGAGGAAAGCTAAACAAAAATGATAATAATTCATCGGTGTTACAGTAATTGAATATATTTTAGAGTGGCAAAAACATCTTTGGCTACAGAATCTGGATCTCAGAGCCATTATTGACATCCAGCGTTTTTATGCTATTCAATTTATTTCGAAACGTTGTATTTTAATCGCAAAGTGTCACTATACAATCAAAACAAATTTTTTGCCTAGGCGTTTAAGGTGGCAGATCAAGAAGATTCTTCTAACAGTGTAGAAGAAGACTTCACGACTGTAAAAAGTACCCCCGTAATCCACATCATCAGTGTTCTGATCAAAAAAAGAAAAACAGGTAAAGGCTGAAACCAACGTTTTTTCGTCGACTTCTGGTACTGTAATCGCCATAATCCGGAGGAGCATGATACATTTGGAAAGAATTTTTATCCACCATTCTAGTAGCCAAAAAAAATGGATCCGTCGAATTATTTTAGATGCGGATACCTCTGTTTCTATACAACGCAGCTCAGTAACATTGATAACGTTTTTTAGACTGCTGGCATATTACGAGAAGCAGAAAAGAAAACGTTATCATTGTTAAAGTTTGTGAAGACTACTCCGCTTAATGAAACCAAAAAGGTTAATTCTATTACTTTGTCAACTGCAGTAGTAATTTTTGCGGAACAGCAGTTCTCCTCGACCGGTATATTTGAGTTTAAAATTTACGAAGTATAAGACAATACAGTAAAGAGGACTTGTTACAACTCTGCAAAGTAATGATTTGCGAATACTACTGAATGAATTCTTTAAGCAGATCTTTAAAGATTGCAACCTTTAAAACAACTGGATACCGATAATGTTTATTAAAGGGAGATTCAGAAGGTTTCATCAATCTCGCTCCGTTTTTTCCAACTCTATCAAAGGGATTTTATCAAATTTTAATGTGTAATTGAGCAAAATATCCTATACAAGCTGTTTTGTTTGAAATTTTTTAAAATACTTTTTTTAAAAACATTTTACTGAACTTTTTGGTGTATCTGTTCACTTACAAAATTGAAAATTTAAATTCTTTCTTAAAAATAGAAGACACGGAAAAATTCATAGAGTTTAAACTGTTGAGTTTTGCCAAGGTTGAATTGAACAGCAACTATTTTGTGCAGAAATATAGTGGCTTATTTAACTTTACAGAGCATAACTTGGCAAAAAAATTTTTTTTTTAGATTTGCTGTTCAATTTTTTAAATTTCAGCTTAACTTCTGTCTGTTAGTAGATTTTAAAGAATTTCATGACATCAAATTAAATGGATTGCTAATTTGGTATAAGATGGCTTGTATGTGTTCTTTTTTTGTTAAACGAAAGATCTTGCTGACATTTTTGGACTGCTGTTACAACAACTCTGTGTTACTGTTAGAATTCTTATATGTACACTTATTTTTAGTTAGTTACCAAAGTTATTATTATTGCCTTATTATAAACATCTGCGGTTCCTCTATTCAATAATATCAGTTATTGTACACAGAATATATGTCGTAAAATTTTCGGACAATTTGTTATGCGATGTTCTCCTAGAAGAGTCATAGTGGTCAACAGTGAAAATCAATCTTTAAAATTTCAAACTCAAAGGTATTTACCCGGACTGTTCATTGCACGTTACCGATTTTACCATTTAGTTAACACTAATGTTTTTATGCTCTAAGTAGATTTTTTTGAAGTACATAACTTTAAGGGCTTTTAATCAACTGTTTGTGTTAACCGTTTCCGTCAGCTTCAGTTGGCTTGTCAAACGCATTTCACGCTTGATACTCGAATTTCAAAGCGGCAACTAACTTTCTAAGGGCTGCCAAACGTCTGAATCTTATATTCTCGGATCTCTTCTCTTCCTCTAACTCTAAAGTTTATGTACTGTAAGTCACAGACTGCGTTGTAAACGCTGTAGAAGTAAATACTAAGTTTTTAAGAAAGATTACGAATTAATGAGCTATAAGAATCTGATTTTTTAGGTAATCCTGTTTCTAAAATTTCTTTTAAACAATAATTTTATAGCTTATAAAATAAGCAAAAATTCTACATTACGTTATTTTGTGACGAACGATAAATGGTGCAACACTTTAAATTACACACACCACAGTAGTTAATAAATTTTATCATGCACTCTGAAAAAAATTAGCAACTTTTTTAAATTTTATAAAGAATAAAAGTAGACAAAAAAATGTACAGCTATGTTTAAAAACAATCATAGATGTCCAAAAAAAAATTTTTTTTTCAAGGCTGACTCAACACTGAAAATGTAATTCTAACTAAATCACTATCAATAATGAAATATATAGGTTTCTGCCATAGTCACTACAATGACCTGCTAAAGTGTAAAGAAACATAAAGTTGTCAATTCTCAACTTTATAAACTGAAGAAAACCCCCAAAATTGGTCATCCTCCTACACAACAGTTTTACAGTTTGAAATTTTCAACAAGTTTTTTTGAAAGTTTGAAAGTATAAAGAATATCAAAGAAAGTGATATTGAAAACTCATCGTTTTTTTTTTCTGACTCGTTGTTAGTCGTTGTTTTTATTGCAAATCACCTGAAAATTGTTATTGCAAATCACCTAAACTAAATTTCTAAATCTTTTTACTAATTTAGCTCAGACTTCTTGACTTATTTCTGACCTCTTCACTGGTTTATCGACACCGTATACCAGCAACGTTTTAAAATATGAATTTTTTTCTTTCTACACTTGGATCAGTGTTTCAACAAACCCTTTATAACAGTAGGTAGATTCAACTGAGCACTAAGCTTGTCAACATACTAGATCTTGGTATGTTAGCCGATATGATAAACGTATTACTTCTTATTTACACTACTTCTTCTTTTTTCGCTCTGTTTCATAATCATTTCAATGGCAGAATTAATTCCGGTCATTTTTTCACAGTTTTATAAGTGAATTTCTTGTAGTTTTTTCTCCCTTTTCCAAAGTGATATAATTTTTTGCAAATTTTTAAAACACTTTAGTGTTTATACATAAGCACTTATAAGAACGGTATTTGTCATCAGGAGAAGTACTGCTACCTCAGTCTAAATTGAATATGCACAAACAGATATACATTTTAAAAAGAATAACGCTTT